AAATATTTAATGCATGTCTTCCTTAATGATGTTAAATACTGTTATACCAGTTTAATGTCTAATGTCTCTTTGTCTTTCTCCATGACTTGGAGCCTATCCACCCTATTATACAAACCGGATTCCATAAAAGTTGGGACACTAAACAAATTGTGAATAAAAACTGAATGCAATGATGTGGAGGTGCCAACACCTAATATTTTATTCAGAATAGAACACAAATCACAGATCAAATGTTTAAACTGAGGGAATGTATCATTTTAAGGGAAAAATCTGTTGTTTCCAAATTTCATGGCGTCAACAAATCTCAAAAAAGTTGGGACAAGTCCATTTTTACCACTGTGTGGCATCCCCCCTTCTTCTTACAACACTCAACAGACGTCTGGGGACAGAGGAGACCAGTTTCTCAAGTTTAGAAATAGGAATGCTCTCCCATTCATGTCTAATACAGGCCTCTAACTGTTCAATCGTCTTGGGCCTTCTTTGTCGCACCTTCCTCTTTATGATGCGTCAAATGTTCTCTATAGGTGAAAGATCTGGACTGCAGGCTGGCCATTTCAGTACCCGGATCCTTCTCCTACGTAGCCATGATGTTGTGATTGCTGCAGAATGTGGTCTGGCATTATCGTGTTGAAAAATGCAGGGTCTTCCCTGAAAGAGATGACGTCTAGATGGGAGCATATGTTGTTCTAGAACCTGAACATAGTTCTCTGCATTAATGGTGCCTTTCCAGACATGTAAGCTGCCCATTCCACAAGCGCTCATGCAACCCCATACCATCAGTGATGCAGCGTTGATAACAACTTGGGCTATCCTTGTCCTCTCTGGTCCGGATGACATGGCGTCCCAGTGTTCCATAAAGAACTTCAAATCGTGACTCATCTGACCACAGAATAGTCTTCCATTTTGCCACACTCTATTTTAAATGACCCCTGGCCCAGTGCAAAGGTCTGAGCTTGCGGAGCTTGCTTAGAAATGGCTTCCTCTTTGCACTGTAGAGTTTCAGCTGGCAACGGCAGATGGCACGGCGGATTGTGTTCACTGACAATGCTTTCTGGAAGTATTCCTGAGCCCATTCTGTTATTTCCTTGACAGTGGCATTCCTGTTTGAGGTGTAGTAACGTTTAAGGGCCCGTAGATCATGAGCATCCAGTAGAGTTTTACAGCCTTGACCCTTGCGCACAGTGATTGTTCCAGATTCTCTGAATCTTTTGATGATGTTATGCACGGTTGATGATGATAACTTAAAAGTCTTTGCTATTTTACGCTGGGTAACACCATTCTGGTATTGCTGTACTGTCTTTCTGCGCAACAATGGTGGAATTGGTGATCCTCTTACCATCTTGGCTTCTGAGAGACACTGACACTCTGAGAAGCTCTTTTTATACCCGATCATGTTGTCAATTGACCTAATTAGTGTTAATTGGTTTTCCCGCTGTTTGTTATATGGTCAATTTCCTTTTTCCAGCCACTTATTTCTACTTGTCCCAACTTTTTTGGGATTTGTTGACACTGTGAAATTTTGAATCAACATATTTTTCCTTTAAAATGTTACATTTACTCAGATTAAACTTTTGATCTGTCATCTATGTTATATTACGAATAAAATATTGACATTTGCCATCTCCACATCATTGCATTCAGTTTTTATTCACAATTTGTTTAGTGTCCCAACTTTTTTGGAATCCGGTTTGTAGATGGTTAATAAAACTGACATTTTGTTGCTGCTTTTGCAACACATGTTTACAAATAAACAATGTTTTTGATTGAAAAACCAGAAACTAAAAAAATTATAATAATTTTAAAGTGGACATTTTTTTAACTCAGTTGTTTAGTGTATTTGTGTTGTCTTGAAATATGGAGCTTTGCAGAAGCAATAATAGCAGCTAATTTCTTGCAAGGTTGCTAATAATGTGTACCTTGAACCAAAACAACAATTGAGGCATTACTAATGGCTTTTCTACAAATGTCTCTGTTTAACCTGATCTTGTCATAGTAAACTTTCATCTTGTGCTGAAAAGGTTAATAACTAAAAGAAAAATTTTAATTGTGACTAAGTGAAAAAAACACTAATTGTTTTTGGAAGATTTTTTTTCTTGAGCCAAGCTAAGAACACTCTTTATATTTTGGTACATTAATATGGACTTTCTTAGTGGAATAACATGGGTATTTTAACGTTTTTGTTAGAACTGGGTGGGCAGAGTTTGAATTTTATCTAAACAAAGAAAACAATCTGTTTAAAAATATTCAGAGACAGAACCTTATTCCAAATACTTCAAAATAAATCCCACAGCATAAATGTAATTTAAGACTGCCATGTTCACTGCTTTGGCTAAAACACTGATATTCTACTAATTATTCATTCTCCTTTGCCTAAAAGGCACGGCAATTATTAGATTAATAATTGATGGGTTATCTTTCCTGGAGAAGAATAGCAGTTGTACTAGTTGGCAAAAACTGCAGGACTGAATTAATCTGCAGAGAGATTTGTGGGGATATTTAAACTTTCTCCAGAATTTCATTTTATTGGCTGGAGTTCATATGATATTGCAATATTACCATTAGTTATTGTTAGATTGTAAATTGTTTAAGATGCCTACAAGTAATGTAATTACTCTTTAATTTACACATTAGGCATGATTACTATCTGCCAGGTTCTGTATGACCCATTAAAATGATATATTAAAACATTTTGTGTCATGCAATAATTTATTAACTTGTTAACTTATAAAGAAACTAATAAGCTAGAATATACTGGTTTTGGGCAGTCAATATATTTGCGGTTTTTCTAGAACTATCAAACTGTCATGACGTTCTAAATCAAATACTTCTATTTTTGTCTTCCATTTCCACTTTCTTCTCAAGACAGTGGAAAAGGTTTTGCAGGAAAAGCAACAACGAAGTCTTCGCCCATGAAGATTTCGCCCATGAAGATTTCGCCTATGAAGGCCTCGCCCATGACTTCTTCGCCCATGAACGCTTCGTCCATGAAGGTTTCGCCCATGAAGATTTCGCCCATGAAGGCCTCACCCATGAAGGCCTCACCCATGAAGGCCTCACC